CCACTATAGTTATAGTAAGTTATATATAGTAAGTTATAGTAAGCCACTATAGTTATAGTAAGTTATATATAGTAAGTTATAGTAAGCCACTATAGTTATAGTAAGTTATATATAGTAAGTTATAGTAAGCCACTATGTGGGTGCTGGGGATTGAACTCAGATCCTCTGAGAGAACAGTAACCACTCTTAACCACTAAGCTATAACTCCACCCTAGAGAGGGACTGATTCCATTTTGACATTTTAATGCACACATACTAGTGTTTGTCTCTCTAGGACTGAAGGGACGAGCCAGGTTCGTCCCGACCGTCTCTGATGTTCTTTCCTGAATTATTTTCATTTATATATTTTGTTATACATTAGTTGAATTTCTTATCGCTCTGTGTTCTGGATTGCCTCTTTACGAATAGTGTGTTGTTTAGTTTTTCCAGTCTTCTGTTAGAACATTTGATCAAGTTCAAGAAATCAGAGAGTTAGAGAGATGGCTTAGCATTTAAAAGCAATAACTGCTTTTCCATAGGACTTGGGTTCAATTCCCCACACCAATATAGTTGTTCACAATTGTCTGTAACTCCATTTCTCGAAGATTTGGCACCCTCTTCTGACCTCCAAGAGCACCAAGATGTGATGCCTAGACATACATGCAGATAAAACACCCACACACATAAATACACACAAAATAGAAACAATAATTTAGAATTCTGGCATTAAACTCAGAGTGTCAGGCTCAACAACAGACACCTATGCCCATCAGCACTTAATTTTTTTGAATATCCAAAATTATGTGTCAAGTACATGGATCCTCCAGGTGTTAGAGAGTTCTCTTTTCTTCTGCAAGGCAAGGACAATAATAGTGTTGATCACCTTAGCCAACCAGGGTGGGATGCTTGTTTGTTCCCAGCTGTTCAGAATGGAAATAATCACTCAGGAACTATATTATTTGTAATACTGTTTGGTCAATAGCTTAAGCATGTTGCTAGCTAGCTCTTACATCGAGAATTAACCAATTTCCATTATTTTATGTTTTACCATGAGTCTTATGGCCTACCAGCATGATTCCAACTGACAGCTTGCATCTTTCCCCTCTGGAGGCTACATGGCATCTCTAGCAGCGGCTACATGGCAACTTGCAACTCTGCCTTCTTTCTCCCAGCATTCATTTCAGCCTTCCCCTCCTAGCTCTATTCTGCCCTATCACCAGCCAAAACAACTTCTTTATTCATTAACCAATAAAAGCAACACATATACAGGACTTCCCACACCAAACCAGGAGCGGATATGAGTAAAGACTCGCATGGTTCGACAAGATCTGCTGAAGCTCTGATCTGTTCTGATCTCAGGTGGGGACATTCAGGAACTTTAATGATGACATGGAAGTCAACTCTTCTCTGAACCTCAAAGGTTCTGTGTTCTGTCCTCACTCTCCTGCTTTAGTCAGATTTCAGATTACAGTTCTTGACCAGAAAAACCTTCCAATTGACTAACTTTGCATTCCATGTTGTAAAACCCTAGAATATCCTGTTGACCTGTCTGGTTTCCAGATGCAGGCCTCTGTCTGTGCCAAGTCTGGATTTTCAGACTTTATCTGAATCTGGAATGAACAAATATGCCCATTGAATAAAAAAATTACAGATGTGGAGTCAGCCTGACACTTACTTCACAGCTGTCAAATATTGAGCGATTTTTGGGGGTCCGTTGGGGTTTTCTGCAAATCTTTATTTTTCTTTTTTCTTTAACATGGACATTCGATAGGTCATTCACCTTTTCTTTTCTTTTTAGAGGTTTTTGATATAGGTATCTATCCTCCTTTTAAAATTTTTGTTTTTCTATTTTTAATTGAGATTAAAAGAATCAGAGATAGATAGAGAGAGAGAGAGAGAGAGAGAGAGAGAGAGAGAGAGAGAAGGAGAGAGAGAGAGAGAGAGTCTTTGTCTATGTGAGTGTATTTATGTGAGTTTGGGTTCTTGACAGGTGAAAAGAAAGCTCCAAATCCTCTGGATCTGAATTTATAGGCAGTCAAGCATTGCCCAGTGTGCGTGCTGAAAACCAAGGCCAGGTCCTCTTCTGCAAGAGTTGAGTGCTTTTTTTTTTTTCAGTCTTCTCTCATCCAATAACACATCCAGACCACAGTCTACTTAACCTAGTCCCTTCCCTCTCTTCCAAATCCACTGCCCTTTCATTTTCCTTCAAAAAGAGCAGGTCTCCCAGTGACATCAACTGAACATGGCATAACAAGATGCAATAAGACTAGGCACAAACCCTCATATCAAGGGTGGGCAAGGCAACCCAGTAGGGGTAATAAGGCCCCATGAACAGGCAAAAGAGTCAGAGATACCCCTACTCTCACGATTGAGAGACCCACAGAAACCCCAGTATTGCTGCTGAGGAAGAACCAGCTTCAAGGCTGCACAGAGTGCTCAACCAGAAAGTCCACAGTATAACAAAACTTTCTGAGTGCTTTTAAGAAAGAAAAAAACTCACACACATTCCCTTGATGATTTCTCTCTTTATACTCTCATGCTGAATCTCTATCTCTTTGTTCTTAATAACTATATAAACCCAAAAGACTCTTTCAGGCAATAGAAGTTACATGTGAAGGTCGCATCCTGTTTCTGAAGTAAATGATAAAAAACAGAGTCATCCCAACAACTTACATGTTAGCAATATCAACACCCAAATTGGTGGACTGTAATTTGCAGCTGCAAAGAAAGAACCGGTCATTCTGTTGTCAATTTAGAGTGATAGTCTCATAAAGGACTTTAAAGGAGTTATAAAATCAAACTATTGAGGAGTGTAAGAAAAAATAAGGAAACTGTGTACTATATCTTATACTTCTAAGTGCAATAGACATTTTAAACTAACTTTTTTGTGGTCAACCATTGTATTGTAAATGCTTTGGTATTTACTCAGGTTTACCTTAAATTTCTTAATATGAGCTCATTTCGCACTCTCCAAGGCAAAGAGACACCAAACACATTTTAAATCTTAAAATATATTTTTCTGCCCTGGATGAAACTTTAGACCATAGAAAAGAAAATTTGCAAGTCTTTCTCATTGCTATGAAGTTAGATTATTCTCTGTATCCCTGGCCAGTAGGAAAATCTTCCCCATTGGTGTATCTGAAAGAAAACTTGAAAGCTGTTTTTGTTTCTAGACCTCAGTTAATGGCTCCCTGTCACCTGTGCAGTTTTAAGACCCAATATGAAAAACAGTTAGTTGGCTGAACCTTGAATCTTCAGGTTGCATACCTGTATCATAACACTGAGGTAAGGAATTTGGGAAGAGGGTTAATCACTGTCCAAATTTATCATTCAGACCTAGCAAAAGGGACTGGCATAGAAATTAGGTTGCTTTGCCCCTTTAACCTTGGATCAACAAATCAGACAGCTGGCCATTATGTCCTTGTGAACTAGACTGCTTTTCCTGGGAATAGTTTTTCTAAAAACAAAACAAAAAGCAGCAAGGCACCTGGTCTAATGTAAAGCTACTTTGAAGCTTTTTATCAACTAATTGTGTACAGCTATTTTGTCAGCTGATGAAATTCAAGTATTTCCTTTGTCATTCTGAACTGTGATATAAAACAGCTCTCAGGGACTTTATAATCCCTGATTTGTACAGTATTTCTTTGTATTCATCAAAATTCTCTGTAAGGTAATATTATTGATAACAAATTGGCAATACAGATTAAGGAGGAATCACTTTCTAGACAACCCACATATTGAGATCCCCAAGAGCTCATGATGCACTCATGAGAAAGACATTACAATACAGGCAGTGGGGGCATTCCCCATACACTCTAGGGAAAATTTGCAATAGCGTGTGTACAATATATATAGCACCAAATGATATTCCAGAGCCTGTGGCCTTATGACCATGTCTGAACAAGGTTTTCCATCTGAGGGTTTTCCTTCTGGTGGGCTGATACTTTGAATATTAATTGCCATCTGCTGCTCTTATGTCATGGCTCTTGTCACCCCCAGATAAACCATCACAGTAAGTATGCAGAAGACCTAGTATAAAAGCAGTAAGGCTCCATGATCATTGGCCCAATGAGTCCTGATTAATTGACTCTATGGGCTGTGTTCTCCTAGTGTCTTTGACCACTGTGGCTCCTACAATCCTTCATCCCCTGCTTCCAAGAGTCTTCTTTAACACCGAGTCATCTTTCAGCCCTCTATATTCTTGTCCTGAATAAATTCACACTGTGTGTATCCAGGAGACAACTGGCAATGTGTCTGCAGTCCTGGTATCCAGCCCTGCACAGCATCCAAGTTTTTGCATTCCATAATGGAACTGTCTGTCCTCAGCCTTGGTATGCCCCCTGCTCAGCTCCTCCCCCAGCATCAGCAAAGGCCCCAGGTAAAGAGGAATCAATACCTGCTCCATGGCCTTCACTGTGAACTTTCCCTGTTTCTTCTACAAGGTTTCCCTAGTCTGAACTTCTCTAGTCCAGTAGTGCTGTGAAGAGTGGTATTAACATTATAAATGATGTCATTACCTAGCCAATCCAGAGAGGACGTTTTATCTGTCTTGAGCCCCTTCCTTGCCTGATTCATGTAGTACAGAGCCGAGGTGACTTTGTAATCGGCGTCCGTGTTCTTATTTCTATCTGGTCTTTGCCCTCCAGGTGCCAGCCTTGCATACTGGCTGACACCTTCTCAGCTAGTCTTCAGAAATTTAGAATCTTTGTAGACTAAAAACAAATCTGTATTTCACATTCCAAAGTGGAATGATTGATTTGCATTGTTTCAAAATAACTACTCATTTTTTTAAAAATTAAATTTTCATTGTCTTTTCACATTGAGTTTGTTATTGTTATTGTTGTTTATTTGCTTGATTGTTTGTTTGTTTGATGCAAGTTCTTCCTGATTGTCCTGAAATTTTACTATGTAAACAAGGCTGGCCATGATCTCAGCGATCTGCATGCCTCTACATTCCAAGTACTAGGATTAAAGGTGTAAGCCACCATTGCCCACCTTACTCTCTGCTCTTGACAAGATTTTTATTTCTTTTGAGAAGTATCATTAATATTATTGCTGCAACTTTTACTATACTTTGTATGCATGATTGGTGTTTCTCTGTGTGTTTGTACATGCATGATATGTGAGTGGGCATGATGTATGTGTATGTATGTGTGTATGATGCATTGTGTGTGTGGTGCATATGTATGTGTGTTGTGTGTGTGCTACAACACACGTGGAGATCAGAAGACAACTTTGTGGAGCCTCAGATCCCTAATGAGCCTTCACCACCTGAGACAGCTCTCTGACATGCTTTTCCCAATGTTTGTAAAATTATGCTTATATACTTTGGAGGTATAAATTTTCAGTTGAAATTATAAAAATGGAACAAAAAAAACACTTTTTCTATCCTCTCCAAGTCATTTACACAAATGAACGTCTTGCAACATTCTAGGAACACAGAACATGATGTAAACTGTCTGAATTTAAAGATGGTGGCTCCTGCCTGGAGATTAGCAGGAGGACATTTATCCATCTGACATCATCCTGATCTACAGGCTACCATAAGCTACATAATAAGTCAATATAAGAGGAAGTTTTCAGCGCAAAATGCCTGCTCCCAAATAACCAGGAGCTGCTTCCCAAATAACTGACTCAGAAACTTAATATGAATTGTAAATACCCAGTCAACAGCTCAGGGTTATTTCTACCTAACTCTTCCATTTACATTAAGCAATATTTTTATCTATGCTTTGCCACATCAGGCATAGCTTGTTATCTCATTTTCCATATTTCCTGTTTCCTCAGAGACTGGCTGGCATCTGCTCTGACTCCGCCCTTCTTCTTCCCATCATTTTTTTAGTTTGGCTGTCTCACCTATTATTCCTGCATTGCTACCAGTCAATCAGTTTTTTATTAAATCAATTTGAGTGACAAATCATCACAGTGTACAAAATGATAATTTTACAGCATTTTTACCTTTTTTTCTAATTAAAAATGATTTCATTTTAACATAGAAATATTATATATACCAAAAGTAATAATTAAGTAAAAATTACAGTTACAATATCCAGTCTATTTGCATTTGGCAAATCTAGAGAAAATACTGGATTTACTATCTTATCTTGGTAAGTCTAAAGTTTATATATATTTTTATATATACATATATATATATAATTTATCATTTTATCATAACTAACAAAAACTATAATTATATCTAATCTAGCCTTCAACTCCATCAAAGACCCCAGAAGGATAAAATAATACCTTATGACAGGGACACAGGGACATCAGGCTGCCTGGACAGTCACCCAAAATTTCTTTTTTTAAAAAGATTTATTTATTTATTATGTACACAGTGTTCAGCCTCCATGAATGCCTGCAGGCCAGAAGGGGGCACCAGATCTCATTACAGATGGTTGTGAGCCACCATGTGGGTTGCTGGAAATTGAACTCAGGACTTCCGGAAGAGCAGTCAGTGCTCTTAACCTCTGAGCCACCTCTCCAGCCCCCCAAATTTCTTTATAACACTGAAACATACAACTCTGGCCTACAGGCCTAGCATACCTGCCAGACTTTCTTGTGAAGCAGGGAATTCTGAAGGACTGACCTTCCTGGTCTTGGCAAAGTGTGGCAGTTGCAATTCTTGTGTTATATTGTGTAACATGAGGGGCTGGCTTGTTTGTGGTTTCTGTTCTGCCTGATTCCCACAGCTATTTAGCCCCAAAGAAAATCACACAGAGGTCTCCATAAATTATAAAACTGACTGGCCTATTATCTCAGTGTTCTTATTAGCTCTTGTAGCTTATACTAACACATTGTTCTGATCTATGCTAGCCACATGGCTCAGTACCTTTCACAGCAGAGCAGGTCACATGTTGCTTCTTTGGTGATCTGGGCTGGATGGGAGGAATCAGCTTCCTCCTTCCCAAAATTATCCTGTTCTCATTGCATCACCTCTACTTGCTGTCTGGTTTTCCCGCCTTTACTTCCTGTCTGGCCAATCAGCATTTATTTAAGACATGATTGACAGAATACAGACAATTCTCCCATAATGCTTGTGCAGTTTGGAAAGTAACTGTTATCAATTGAGGCAAACGCTAGCTTTTGTCATAAAAAACAAACTCCATAATAATCTCTGAAGTAGATTAGTGCTTCTAGGAGCAGACATGTATAACTGCCTTGAAAAGTCTTAAGTTATTAAACATATTAAATGTCATATCCTGTAGGTCCTTGAAGTGTTTGAACATGATTGATCTCAATACATCTGTTTATGACCTTCCAAAAATATAAATCATGACTATAAGTTTGATGACTGTTAATCTTTATTTTTATTTTTGTTGATTTTTATGGAGCTCTATATTTTTCTCTGTTTGCCCCCCTGCTTCTTCTCCCCTCTTCAACCCTTCCTCAAGGTCCCAATGCTCCCAATTTTTTCAGGAGAACTTGTCTTTTTCAACTTCCCATGTAGATTAGATCTATGTAAGTCTCTCTTAGTGTTCTCATTGATATCTAAGTTCTCTGTGATTGTGGTTTGTAGGCTGGTTTTCTTTGCTTTATGTTTATAGACTACCTATGAGCGAGTACATGTGATAATTGTCTTTCTGTGTCAGGTTACCTCATTCAAAATAATGTTTTATAGCCTCATCCATTTTCTTGCAAAATTTAAGATGTCATTTTTTTTCCTGCTGTGTAGTACTCCTTTGTGTAAATGCACCACATTTTCCTTCTCCATTCTTCGGTCAAGGGCATTTAGGTTGTTTCCAGGTTCTGGCTATGACAAAAATAAAATATGCTATGAACATAGTTGAGCACATGTTCTTGTGGCACAATTGAGCAACATTTGGATATATACCCAAAAGTGGTATTACTGGGTTGAGGAATGTTGTTTCCTAATTTTCTGAGAAATCACCACACTGACATCCAAAGGGCTGTACCAGCTTTCATTTTCTTTCACCAGCAATGCAGGAGTGTTCCCTTTTCTCCACAACCTTTCCAGCATAAGTTGTCATCAGTGTATTTGATCTTGGCCATTGTTACAGGTATAAGATGGAAATCTCAGAGCTATTTTGATTGGCATTTCTCTTATGACTAAACATGTTGAACATTTCCTTAAGTGTCTTTCAGCCATTTTAGATTCCTCTGTTGCGAGTTCTCTGTTTAGGTCTGTACTCCATTTTTTTTTATTGGACTATGTGTCCTTTGGATGACCAAATTTTTGAGTTCTTTGTATATTTTGGAGATCAGACATCTGTCTGAAGTGGCGTTAGTGAAGATCTTTTCCCATCCTGTAGGCTGTCATTTTGTCTTGTTGACTATGTCATTTGCTTTACAGAAGCTTTTCAGTTTCAGAAGTTCCCATTTATTAACCGTTTCTCTTAGTGTCTGTGCTACTGAGGTTATATTTAGGAAGTGGTTTCCTGTGCCAATGCATTCAAGTGTACTTCCCACTTTGTCTTCTATAAGGTTAATTGTGGCTGGCTTTATGTTGAAGTCTTTGATCCATTTGGACTTGAGTTTTGTGCATGGTGATAGACGTGGGTCTATTTTCATTCTTCTACATGTTGATATCCAGTTATGCCAACATCATTTGTTAAATATGCTTTCTTTTTTCCATTTGGTATTTTCTTGCGTCTTTGTAAAAAATCAGGTGTTCAAAGGTGTGTGGGTGAATATTTGGGTCTTCTATTCATTCTGTTGATCCTTCTGTCTGTTCTCATCAATTCTTTTTCTGATGTGGGCTTAGCGACGATCTTTTCTTATTCTGAAGGCTGTTGTTTTGTCTTGTTGACAGTGTCCTTTGCTTACAGAAGTGAAATATATAATCTTTTAAAGGTAACATACATATCTGTATATGAATATAGACTGTGCATTGCCTATAAATCAGTTAATGATGATATTATGTGTTTGAGCAGGTAAAATATATATCACATATCTTGTTGTACATTTAGGTTTATTTTTTTGATTTTTTTGTAGCCAGGATTTTCAGGGGATATTCCTCAATCAAATCTAATTTTTTTTAACCTGGAATGAATCCATAGACTCACATTTCCTGTCCTAATAAAAGCAAAACCTCTTTCCCAAAGTAGCACATCTTTTGACTTAAATTTGGAAGTCAAGATATTTTTAAAATATGGAGGTTGGTAGAATTTAGCAGTTTGTATATTCCATGGTCTCTTGGCAGAAAAACAAATTTCAAAGATAACACATTAACATACAGGATACAGACTCTTTCTTTCTTTCTTTCTTTCTTTCTTTCTTTCTTTTTTTTTTTTTTTTTTTTGTATTTTGAGACAGGGTTTCTATGTAGCATTGACACCTGTCCTGGAAATAGCTCTTGTGGACCAGGCAGGCCTCAAACTCAAAGATCTGTTTGACTCTCTGTCCCGAGTGTGGGTATTAAACGTGGGCGCCACCACCGCTGGGCCTCAGACTCTGTTTCTATTTTCTGTCATTATGTGGCTTGTTATTTTTTTTATTACTCTATTCCGCTTATAAAAAAGTTTTGGTACCCTTTTCTCTCCTCGCCAAAGTCTATGTATATTTTTAAACACACCGTAATTTAGAGGTTTTTTTTTCCCCTTCCTGAATCTGTTTTTACTGTGCATCTGTAACCTTGTCTGTCTGTATGAGCTAAAACTCTACAGCCTCCATGCAGTGTGCTGGCACTCACAGCTCAAACCTACAGGCAGGGGCTGGAAGAAGCCACTGTGTATAACGACCCCTGTGAGTAACTGCAATAACCCACTTTCCCTTAGTTCATGGCAGTTGGCAGCTGGCCCGTCTCTTGGGCAGCTCTTGAGTGACATGTCTCTGCACAAGTCTGACTTTGCAGATCACAGCAGTTGTCCGGGTTCTCCCATAGCCACTGATAGTGGAGGCACAGCTCCATCCCCAGCATGTCATCCCTGACCCATTCTTTGTTTCTCAGTGGTCTGCTACTGAGTCATTCAGTGTTCTTCATTGGGCAAAACAGATAAAACCTCCAACAGGCACCTGAGAGTTCTGGGGGGGCTATATGTTCTCATTTGGTTCTGCTTCCCCATTAGAGAAACTTTAAATCCAGGGCCACTACCTTGGTAAGGCCTGTTCCAGCCTGAGCAAGGAGCAAAGCAGTCAAAGTGAGACGGCTTCTCTTTTCCCTCTGATGTGGGTTTGGTGGCCCATGGGTAAGGTTCAGCATCATTCTCCAGTTATTGTGTGTGTGTGGGGGGGATTGTTAGTTGCTGGCTGGTCGTCCTGTGCTGGGGATTAAACTCATAGACATCCTGACACCAACAAGATGTCTTTTTAACCTAAGTGCTGTCTGTCACCTCCTGGCATCCCTATTTAGACTGTAAAAACATCCAATCATACAGTGTTTAAGTTAGAGTTTCTACTGCGGTAATAAACTAACTTGGGGAGGAAAGGGATTTTTGTCTTACACATCCACATCACAGTCCCTCATCAAAGAAGTCAGGGCAGGAACCTGGAGGCAGAAATTAAAGAAGACACTATGGAGTAACACTGCTTCCTGCCTTGATTAGTTTGCTTTCTTATATATACCAGGACCAACTGTCCAGGTGGCGATGCCCACAGTGACTGGGCCCTCCCACATCAATCTCGAATCAATAAATTCTTCAGAGACTTGCTTACAGGCAATACAGATATAGGCCTTCCTTTTAAAATTAAGGTTCCTCTTTTCAAACAATTTTAGCTTTGCCAAGTTGACAAAAAACAAAAGAAAACAAAATTTAAAAACCCAAACCAGCTAGAACACGATGTGTGTCTATTAATCAAAATTTCCACCCTTTCCTGTACTCAGAGGAAAAAAAAATTAGTCTGTCACCTTTATCGATCTGTTCATCTTTTTGAATTTCCACTTTCATATTTTTGAAAATTACCCTTTTAACAATCCAGTGAATTTTTACAGAGCTGTGCAATCAGCACCACCATTCAGGTTTGGAACTTCAGACTTAGCATCCCCAGGAGATCCCCTCACAGCTGTGCACAGTCCTTTCTTGGTCCCTTTAGTCCATGCAACCACTCATAAATCTTCCTCTATAGATATCATTTCTGGGCATTTTATAGATATGTAATTATACATTATGTCTCCTTCTGTATTTGTCTTTCTTTATTAAGAAAAAAATTTTTGAGATTCATTCACTTTTAGAATATATTGCATTTTGGTCCTTTTATTGAAGAATAATATTTCATTGTATAAATTGTTCAGTTTTATTTTTCTATCCTCCAACTAATGGCCATTTCAAATGTTCCTAACTTTTGGCTATCAATGCTACCAGAAATATTTGCACATAAATTAGAGAGACTATTCCTTTTAAATTGTATAAAAACACCTAGTAGTAGAATTTTTGAATAATACTTAACATTATATTTCACTTTTTTGTCTGGATGTGAATATGCAGTATACATGCATGCATGCATAAACATTCACATACATGAGTGCTTATGTGTGAAGATGCACATGTATGTGTGTGCACAGATGTGTGGAAGTCAGATGTTGATTCTGGGGAGTGACAAGGCAGGGTCTCTCTCACTTGAACCCTGAACTTGGCAACTTATTGGACTTGACTCAATGTATTTATTGGGGTTAACTCAAGACCACCTATCTTATGTATGTTAGTTCTTTACAGTCTTTCTTTCCTGTATAAAACCCTACATTTCACAAACATATAGACTGATAGACCTGATTACAATTTCCCCATGGTATTTCCCCCCTCCAGGATGTCCACAGAAGATAAGAACTCAGAGACGATTCCCTTCGAACCTATGTTCCTGACCTTCAAAAGACATAAAGTGATGATTTCAAATGCAATAAAAAAGCCATTTCCTTTTCTTGAGGTACTCCGTGACAGCTCTCTCATCACTGAAAAAATGTATGAAGTAAGTGAGGTTTGTTATATTCTAACCTTGAAACAAGCCCCAGATTAAGTTACACTTTGATATATTGGAGCCAGACTGAATGATTGGTAGGTTTTAAAAGTTGGACTTAATTTTTAAAGAAAGATTTTATTTCTTATGTGCATGCATGTTTGTGTGCTGTTGCGTGCTCATGCGCGCATTTGTGTGTGTGTTCACATATGTGCTGGTGCCTTAGAGTACAGAAAGGAGCTCCAGCTTCCCTGGAACGGGAGTTACATGTAGTTGTGAGTCATCGATGTGGGTGCTGGGAATCCCCCTGGTCCTCTATTACAGTAACACGTCTTCTGAACCACTTAGCCAACTCGCCAGCACCCGAACCTAATTTCTGACAAAGAAATATTGACAAAGTTTTCATAACACTTGGTAGAGATATAAGTTACAATAATACATTCATCAATTATAAATTAGATTTCTGGACTTAGATTTAAACCTGCATTTCCTGGGAGTGATATGCATTGTGTAAATATTTTGAGAAGTGTTCTTTCCATGTATTAAGGGGAGGATGAGCAGAGAGCCCAGGAGATGGTCTTGCTTATATGTGAGGAGAAGGTGTTCCATGGTCCCTTCTGGATGAGTATTGCTGAAGAAAAGCCAGAGCAGAACAGGGGTTCTCCATAGATGTGCAGTGTCTCATGTATTTTAAACCATAGAGTTCATGCAAATCAAATTCAACTGAACTAAACTGGTAAACAAGCTAAGGATCAAAAATGATTTATATTTACTGTTGAATTATTTTATTGAAGTGACTTAGTGAAATTTCCATGAGGACATTTTATTTTAATTAATATCTATTTTAAAAATCTAGATCTGATAATGTTACAAACTACAGAGTGTTTTATTAGGACAACTTTTTAAAAACCTTTTATTATTATTTTATATGTATGAGTGTTTTGTCTTTGTGTTTGTCTATGCACCACGGTGTCCCTGGTGCCCATGGAGGTCAGAAGAGAGGGCACCAGATCCTCTGTGACTGGAGTTACAGGTGGTTGTGAACATCATCAGGGTGCTGGCAAAGGAATCTGGGAAATCTGCAAGAGCAGCAAGTGTGCTTAACTACTGAGCCCTCTCTACAGCCCTTCCAATACTTCTACCTTATGAATTTGCCTCTATCCATCAGAGTTCACAGTCAGAGGGAATAGACACCTGATTTCCTACAGGAGGACAGGAGGTATCTGGGTAACAGAACAGCATTGGCCACCTGCCCTGACAGCTAACTTTTTTTAAAGAATGCTTCGGTTTTTATTTTTATGTGTACAAGTGTTTTTCCTGACTCTATGTGTGCATAGCACTTGTGGGCCTGGTGCCCATATTTTTCAGAAATCAGCACCAAATCCCAGGAACTGGAGTTACAGGTGTTCTTGCATTGCTGTGTGGGTGCTGAGAACTGAATGAGGGTTCTCTGCAAGAACAGCAAGTATTCTCAACTATGAACCATCTTTCCAGCACCTCCACTCTGAAAAATATAATTGCATATATTATTTATTTACTTATAAATATGTATGTGTTTCTATTGTGTGTGCACGTGTGTATGAGCCTGCTGCTGTGCACGTGTGGGAGTCAGAGGACAGCTTGTAGCTAGTTAGTTCTCCACTTTCACCATCTGAATCCCAGTGACTGAACTCAGACCATCAGGATTGGTGACCAGTGCCTGTAACCCACTGGACCATCTCACCAGCCCCATTGTTAACCCTTAATCCTAGTTTTCCTTCCCTACAAAAACTGGCCCTTCTTACATGTCATAGAAATGAGGGTGGGAGCTCAAAGTCACTAGTGAGTATTTTGAAAGAGAAAATTTTCACTTTTTTCATAAAGTAAACACACAAATATAAAACTTTGCATTAGAACTTATGTATGTTAGGGATTGAGGTACACAAATTATAATTGTTTCCTAGAGCTCTTCTGTGACCTGCACCTACACTTTCTCCTTTAAATTTTTTTTAAGGATTTTAAAGATTCCTGTACAAACCTGGTTCCTGTGCAAAATGTGGTCTACAGAGCCCTGGAAGAACTGGAGAAGAAATTTAATGAGAATTTTCTACCAGTATTGTTCAGTCCTGTAAATCTGAGTGAATACCCTGATTTGGAACCCATTTCCGAAAACTTTGATAATGGTAATTTGAGACCTCTTTAAGATCCCAGTCATTAATATACCAAGCATATATTAAATGTCTACCATATGTCAAAGCATGCAGCATGACTGGAAATATAGTAGTAAACAAAATTAATGCCCCATGCATTTTCATAACACTTATATCTAATGGATAGAGGTGACATGCTCCCAAGGTCTGCTAGGCTGGGTATTTAGACTGAGAAGACAATGAGAGCCCCACCAGCATCAGCTATGGAGAAGAGGACAGGAGAACTCAGTCCCAGGAGGGTAGCACTGCTGTTCTCTTCAGTGGAGCCCTTATAATATTACACACAAGAGTCCATCAGGTTCACTACCACCCACCTTGAGTGACAGCTCAGCTGTGGGTTGCAGGAGCCATCTTAGCTTACCACCACATGCTCATAGAAATCAACAATGTGTGAGCCAGTTCTTCAACCCCATCTGGTCCATCTTTAAAGCCTGCCCATCATGAAGCCTCCCTTTGGTATGTGCCAGACCCTCGACCTTCCACCCAGGAAAGATCCTCTTTCTTCTAACAATTGTGACAACCTGGAAGCCATGTTCAGCTTCTATTTTCTTTCTAGTTTGACATATATCTTCTCTGCCCTCTGAACATTGGAATAGGAACACAGTGCATAGTGTGTCTTCTACTTTTATATTCCTGACTTGAGTGTCTCCTTTCTGTATGGGAAGCATAAAGTCTACCTTGTGGAGTCTTCTCTGTCCCAGGAGGTGATGAGTAAACCTTATCATGTGGGACACATTGAACTTGCAGTGATCAGGAGACTCGAAATTCCTAAATGTGTAATGCAGAAATGCTGTCCCTTGTCTATGTTAAAGATCTCTAATGGCTTCCTCTTCTTCTTCCCTCTCCCTCCCACTTCAGTCTTACCACAGAATGAATTGTGTTTCGAAGGAACTGATAGAGGAGACCTGAACTCACAGCTCAGTCTTGAACAAGGTAAATTACACCTGGAGAGAGTTTCTTATCACCACAGAAACTAGGAAATAAAGGTGATCTTTAGCAGAGTGCATCCTGGGGAAAAACAGAGAAAACAGTGAGGGGAGTGGGTATGAGCCTGGTGTTAGCTCTCCTGTACTGGGACAAATTACCCAGAAGAAGTTGTACACACAAACTCTGAGGCAGGAGGATTGTGATTTTGAGACCAGCCAATTGTTCATAGTAAAACTCACTCAAAAACAGAATGGATACCTGGGAAGTCAATTTATTTGGGTTCATGATGTTAGGATCTTCAGCCCAAATGGTTTGAACTCACTGTAGGGCATAACATCAAAACCAGGGGATGGTGACCTGGAAGCAAAGAAAGCGAGGATGTGCCTGTGTCTTTCAAGGTTACACCTCAGTGATCTAAGTTCCTTCAGATCAGCTCTGCCTATTAAAGGTAGCACCAACACCTACTAGTGCCATTCTGCATGACAGAACCATTAATACTTGAGTCTTGGAAGGAGGTAGTGATTGCGATCTAAACTGACCAGCCTCCAGGAAGATGTAGGATCCTGCCAGAGTAACCATGACAACAGTCAGCCTGTTACCCATGATGAATGAACTTGAACCCAATGTCAGGAGCCAGATTGAGAGAGACTGACTACTCAGAAACAATTGTGACTTAGAGAAGCCTCTGAAGGAGATGACCACTATGGAGCTGTGAAAGGTGAAGCACTATGGTCCACGGTGGCATCATAGAAGTCATGCCATATGAGAGAGATGTTCCTGTTTTGTGCCTGCTCCTATATACACTGGTCTCTGACAACAGATGTGTGGTAACTGGGGGTTTCCCACATCAACCAGCTCAGCAGACATCACCAAGGTGTCTTATAATGTAAGTAAGTTCAGATAAAGGATTCAGTGCCACAAGACAGCAGTCTACTTCAGATGCTGGTTACAAATTCTGGGGTGAGACCCATGCTTCTGGTCAACTGAGCATAAATCAGAGGTTGCTGTGGTGCTTAAGACTACAGAACTTGTTAGCATAGCTCATAAGCCTCTAGGAAATGTTTGATTAAATTTATTAGAAAAGTTATAGCTCAAAAATAGGTAAGCTCAGGAGAACTGGGGAGATGACTCAGGTGTCAAAGTGCATAGAAGCACAGGAGCTTGAGTTTGATCCCTTAAACTTGTGTCAAAAACAGCTCAAGACACAGGGCAGGTACTGTAATCCTAGTACCAGGGAGGCAGAGACAGGCAGCTCCATTGACATCACTGCTCAGGATAACTGATGAGGTTTAGTCAAGTGAGAGATTCCGTCTCTATAAAAAGAGGTCCACGCCACCTGAGGAATGACACCCGAGGTCGTCCTCTGCTCTCCACACACATATGCACACGAACACTAACCACATGGGAGAGGAACACCCCAAGGAATAACAGGGAGAGAACACAACACTCTCTTGTCATCCCTGGGCACACCACTTTTCTTCCAGCACTAATCTGATGGAGTTTGTCAACCACAGATCTCTCTAAACCAAGTCACTTGGGATTTTTAATAAAAGTTCCATCATGCCTGCATTATTATCCATGTGATCAAGTCAAATTCTAGCTCTTCTCACGTTGGAGGTCAGCGCTCCAATGCTCCAATCATGATTTACTCCCCTGGCAGCCAGCCCTTCATTCCTAATGTCTTTCTCAACTTCACCTCTGTAATATGCACTGTGGTGTTACTAAGGAAGGCTGACTATGCTCAAGGGTAGACTGACTCTGTTTTCACCTTAATCACTTGGGAACTCACCCAGGATTTGAGGAGCTCTGGCCGGGAACAGGGACTGAAGATCCAAACTACCATTTCTTAGTATGTCACAGTCTCACACTTGATGTTAGAAGAGATGGATTCAAACACGAGAAATGTTGTTTGAGAGCAAAAATATTCCAGAAGAATGATAGAGGACGACGCACAGCAAGAAAATGGTAGAGGTATGGGGAGATCACATGGATTCTTTGAGACAGAGAAAGGAAGAAGAAAGGAAAGGAGAGCAGAAAGAATAATGGACAATGGCAGAAGGAACCATGTTGCCCGTTTACTACTTTGCATCTACTTTTGATTTTAGCCAATCCCAGCTGGTATGAAATAATGGTATCATTCAGATGCCCAGTTTATTGGTGAGGAAGCTAAACTTGTGATAGACCATGTGTGGAGTGTTCACGGGGTCAAATGAAAAGCAGGAATCCAGGCACTCAGGAGGCAGAGTCTGTGTACTTGACCATGTACTGCTAATATGATAGAAAACATGAAACAGAAGTAGGGGAAGTAGAAAGAGAAAATAGGGAAAATAATTCAAAAATGGGAGGGAATGGAGGCAGGCTGTTTCTGAGTCCTCATGAAAAGAACAGCAGGGACGAGCCATCAGGTATGTGATATGTACTGGGAGGCTGTTTTATGAAAGACGATGTGGTCCAGAGACAGCTAGGAATTCAGATAAGGCCACTGGGCCTGAGAGCTCTGGGGACACGTGCAGGCATCCTTTGGCAGGGATGTGAATGCAGATCACCACTAGGTGCTAGAGTGGCCCAGGTAGGACTTTACTTTGTCAGAGATGACGCTTACAACCTAATCTTATGACCCAAGTCTGATCTCAGGTATCAAGGGGTGCTTGTCAGCTCCAGGGCACTTTACCTCTTGCGTATTAAAGAAAACAACTCACTTCGACTCCTGAAACAAACATCTAGTGTTTGTTCCTTAGGACCTGGTGACAGTTGTTCTCGAGAAAGCTGGACCTGGTCACCCTCAGGGCCCTCTTCATCTGATGGTCTGTTCTCGTTGACTCTGTTAACATTTCTGTCTCTTTCCATAAGTACTAGCTTGCTTTCCGTTGCTGCGATGAAACCCCATGGCCAAAAGTAATGTGTGGAAGAGAAGATTTAGTTTATCTTACAGTTTATAATCCACCATGAAGGGATATCAGGATAGAAACCTGAGGCTGGAACTGAAGCTGATGTCATGGAGGAAAGCTGCTTACTGGCTTCCTCAGCGGGCTACTTATATATCCAAGGACCAGCCGTACAGGGGATTACACCTCTCACAGTGGGCTGGGCCCTCCCATGTCAATCATTAATCAAGAAAATCTTGTCTACAGGTCTCCTGTTCTACTGTATGAACCCTAGAATCACAGATCCATTCTATAGAAATATTTTCATTCAGGTACCTGCCTCTGAAACCATGAGATTACATGTACATATCACACGAGATTACACACTATAATGCAGGTATTGGGGAGACACCAAGCTGCTTCACAAAAGTGAGCAGCAGTTTTCACAGTTTATGATCCTGCAGACCCTGTCTGGACAGGATTAATCCTCTAACAAATGACCATGCGTCTGGTGGGCTGACATCTGAATGCCATTTGATACCTGCTGTAACTCTCGTGGCCCCGACACTGCAGTGTTTGACTTCACATCTTGGGTTCTGGGATCTAAAATCAGGTCCTCATGTTTCTGTAACAAGCACTTTAACCACTGAGTTATCACTCCAGCCTCAATGAGTTTGTTTCTTTTTTAAAGTAGATGCAATAATCTAACCTTTTTCTATTATATCTATGTCCCCCTTTTTCTTTTCAAAACAGGAACTCTGAATGTAATCTCCTTAGTTCAACTTTTTTGCTGACCATCACCAATAACAACTTCTTATCACCCACACTAAACTATGACAAATATCCATAACCCAGTGAAAAAAATGACACACCCCACCCCACCTCTTACGAATGTGGGCGATGTGTTCTACAGTTTGCTTCCTGCTGTGTGAGGGCAATGGCATCTTTAGAGAATCCTGAATAAAAAATAGGGTTAATTTTCAAATCCTGGGAAAGGAAGCCGTATCATTTGTTGTTCAGTCTCTCTATAAACGGAAAGTACAGGCTTTATTTGAAGTTGTGGCTAGAGCAGTCTTTTAAGCTGGATCATCTCAGTTGGCCGTGTCAAAATGATCCTGAGCAGTTTGTAGTCCAAAGCCGATCTCCAGGTGGCGTTTTTCAGCTTAATGGTGTTATCACAGTCCTGGTGGAATTGTCATTGTGGGGGCCATCCTCTTTGGGAGACTTCAAAGGTAACTGGTAGGCATGGTCTTGGTTCTCTGCAGAAAGCTTAAACATTTTAAATGTCATATGCAGCAGATCTCCAATAGTTTAAAGGACCATCCATGCTTTGTTATGTACATCTAGAGTTCAAAAACTTAATTCCTAGTTCCCTGATAGAGACTCACACACAAAACCATGTACAGGAGGCTAGATGAAGCCTGTTTCTAGAATTAGTTATTACTCTATACGACCATTAATATCTTGACAAAAATTTAAAATATACATTAATCTTATGAATTATGATATAATATTTATACCTTAAGAAAAGCTCTTAAAAAGTCAAAATAAAACCAAAGGATTATGAGGTTAGTGGTGACCAAATAGTTTCTAAATTTTGGTTTTCCTTGTGTCCTAAATCAGGTGGCTCTTCTGATCGGACGCAGAGATTCTAATTTTGCTTTAACAAACATGCTTCCATTTAGAGAAGGAGACAGCCACTCTCCAGCTCCAAAGGCAACTTTCATTTTCAACTGAAGTGGGATTTACAAAAAAGATCATTTGCATTATGTGTCTGTAGATAACAGCAGAAACAAACATTTGAGAATATTTATGAAATTTTATCCTGTCGGAGATATGATGCACCAATAGGCTGATTTACTCTTTTTCTCAGGACATTTTTGGATGATTTATTCTTTTTCATTACATGTCTCATTTGTCCAGAAGTCTTCAGATTAATCAGCTGGATACCTTCATTCTCCTGAAGACTAAAATAAAACCACTCCCAACCTTAATTTTGGGTAGTCTCCCTTTTGGCAAGTTATATATGATCAAATGAGAACATTTGTTAATCATATAACTTAGTTTAGATTGAATGGTCCTGATGTTTAATAAACTATCACCTCTTTATATCAAGAGGTCTCTCTTGATCAAATCTAATCTTTGTAATATTTACTTTATGGTTTCTCCTGGGATTTTTGTTTTATCTCATCTATAGCTGTTCTATCATGAATATGTTTTTTTTAAAAAATAGACATTAGATAAATTAATTGCTCTGAGAAGCATTTTCTTCCACAGTGACAGCAAATGACTGAACTGAATTTGGCCTGGGGCATGTGAGAGGCCCCTCAAGGCATTTCCTGACCTCAAAGGGTTACCTTGATATCCCTTGTTGATCTATATTCATTAGTCCAATGTAGGCCTATGCCACATCTTCTGTATAATCCAGAATGGAGGGGTAGGCATGCCTGTTTATAGTCACTTTTTTGGTGACTTTTTTATTTTATTTTTTTACCACAATGAAAACATTTGACATTTCTACATTTTTTAAACCTCTGGAAATCACCTTTTTATACAAGTATCATTATGGGTATGAGATTAGATATTGACTGTATTTTAGATCTATTCCTCTAAGTGTGCTGATCTTGCCTTTAATAGCACAATTACCCTTTTGTATTGTATATTAGCATTTTTAAAAGTCAGAGGTTCCATTATTTTTTGTCTTGCTTCTGAATTTGGTATCATTCTATCTACTGTTGATGTGACTCTTTGTAAGAAATCCGTGAAGGTTTCTTTTGGGGCCTGTATAACTTTAGTAAATGACTCAGTTTTATCTTCTACTTCTTCAACTCTGTCCCAAGCATTCAAAGTTACTGCATGGCATAAAGCCAGAGTGTGGTCATCATATAGAGATTGTCTTTATGTATTAGCATAATCTACCACCCCAAGAAGTTCATCTTGGGAGATTTCCGTGCCTTTACCCCTACTTTATTAATCAATGATTTTAGCCTCATCTTTCTACCAGGTTCCCCATCATAATTAATGACCAGGTTCTACTCCTAATGTAACCAATCTTTCCAGTCTTGAGGGATAATTCCAATACAAGTTAAGCATGAGTTTGACATCTGCTTCACCAAAGGTGATTTCATGCCATATGAGAGTATCATTTCCTTGAATCTTCTTAAATCTAACTTTTCCACTGGAGTCTATTTAACTCTTGCATAGCTTTGGGGTGATCTATCATTTGGAAATTCCTGTAAAGTCACAGGACAAATTAAAGGTCGATTTTTGAAAACCTTAGGCTGTTCCTCTCTTTTTTGGATATGACTATCTCTATGACCCACTTTAATAAGTTTTTCTAAAGCCTGTATCTTGGCACTCACATCAACCAACTGTTTTAGAGATAAACCAAGATTTACCAAACCAACAATAAAAACTATTAAGATGATAATTAACACCATTCTGGTTAAACTGATTATCCCTTCATTTAATTTTTCCATTTTTAATATCCATGCGTTGTGTAATCATAGCGACCCGACCCTCCATTGTAATAGTGTTTCCTATTTTTTTAACATTGGAAAAAAACTCCATTTTAATTTATTCCTCCCTGAAGCATTTCCCATTATTTTACCAAATCTGCCACTGCTGATGATTCAGATGATGGTAACTGTGAAACTGGTTACTGCTGCAGAAAACAGTAGGAGCCCAAGGGGATTTCCAGGCAGCCACCTAGTTTGGCAGCAAACCAAGGAGGGGGTTCAGGGAAAGCCCACAATCCCACAGGATTAAAGAAAGGAAAATCAGACTGCTGGGTCAGTGACTCCAGCTGCATGGAGCTCCAGCCTGTGACAGGGGTCGCAAATTCACAGAGAAGCTACTTTCTTGTGAATTTGTGCCCCATATTGGCCGCCAGATGTAGGATGAATTTCAATCGTGTGTCAAGAACTTTGCCAAATAAATTATCTCCTCAGGCTTTTTAGTATAAGACTTTCAAGGTTTCCCGACAAGAAACACAAAGGGAGAGAATACGGGAATTCAGAAAGATGAGTAGGAGGGGTAAGAAGTCAAAGTCTTAGGAAGAAAAAGATCAAGTGATTTCAGATGGCCCCTTATCAATGATTAGATCTGCCTTGGACATCAAAATGGAGTTTCACTAGCCTACTGTTCTGGTCATTTAGAAAGGCAGACCCTTGTGCATGAATGGAGGCCAGGCTTTTTAAGGGGTTTCAGGTTATTTCTAAAATTTCCTCTTTTGTTTTCTTTTTTTTAATTTTTCCATTCCAAAATTTACACTTCCTCCCCTCCTCCCATACCCCTTCCACTCCCCGACTCTCCCTCCTCTCTCCCCATCCCTGCTTTTAAGGTTTGAAACAAATTACTCTGTTCTTGAGTTGTTACTTCAATAGTGGGCCATGGATGTTACCTTGGCTGGCTTGTATTACAGCTTAATCTTCTTAATTTGCATCCTTCGGATGGCAGCAGAAAAGCCTGTGACCTTTACCATTACCTAGTTGCAGAAAATATAGTAGCATAGAATAGATACAATTTAAAATAAATTTAAATATAATTGAAATGTACTACCAGTGATAAAAATAATATATGATTACATATCTGAAAACAATGCACCCGTGTGGATGCCTGTGTCACAGGATTGTTCTGCAGTTCTTCTTCCAGGTCGTTGTCTCACGCTTGTTCTTCAACAGCTGAGTATCATGGGTCAGACGTGTAATCCCAGCTCTTGGGGATGCTGAGGCAGGGGGATTGCTCCGACATCAAGGATGGCTTAGACTCTGTAGTGAGTTCCAGGACAGGTTACAGAGTGAGGCCTGCCTCAACTCCATCCACCCAAAAATAAAAGTAAAAGAAGAGAAATAATTTTGAAATAAGGTCTTTGTTCTTCATTTATATCAGCCCTCTGAATTGGGAAAATCAGAAGGTTTCCTTGGTAGCTGAATCTATTTCTTTTGACATAGTGTACATGGATCTTTCTGTCAAATCTCTCAGATGATCTTTCCATGTTTCATCCTCACAATGAAACAAAAAAAGTTTTCTCATTGAGTATTGGCTGAGCTGCATCTGAAGCCGTGTAGAGTACAGGTGTGAGCCCATGGCCAGTGCAATACTACACCTTCACATCCTAGCTGCAGCTACTACTGTGGGGGAGAGGAGTCTGCAGGAAATGATGCTGGAGCTAAGGGGTGGGATGGCAATTTCTGGGTTTCAAACTAAAAACTGTGTCATGGAATCGTCTTCACTGAGTTGGGTCATAGAGGAGGAGAGTTCTAACAAAGTGTAGGAAGGGGCTTTCTACATGGGGGAAAAAAGAGCATGAGAAACCATCCTTCAGTGTGTCAGGAAGCTACAGGCAATTAGGTGATATCCCTTGTCTGAGTTTACTGTGAAAATCATCAGGCCAGAACAAGATGATTTAAATGTTTCCTTGAGTCACTGTGGGACACATGGGGGTCAATTTCCATGAAGACAGCTTGATTTTAACAATGGTACATCCAGACAGAAATATCTAGAAGGCAATAAGAATACCTTTGTCACAAAATAAAAGAAAAGACTCCCCCCTGAATAATTAATTCTGTCTTGCAGGCACAGCATCTACCACACCCACCAATGAAGAGGGACAGGCAATTATCCCAAGACCTCCTGCCATGACTTCTAAGAGTATTGTCTACTAATTGTTTGTTTTCCATCTCTGTGGCCTTGTAAGTTTCAGGATTGACCAATATATATTTGATTGAATTTGGGTTTATTCTATGGTGCTCATATAGTTGAGATTTCACAAGCACAAGAGGCCAGGCCTGCTTTGAGCATCTAAATACTTGAGATAGAGATGGGAACAAACCTTGAGAGCCATCAAATAAATGATCTCTTCTGCTTTCAGAGGGAAAACCCAACAAGCCCAGAGTGAACAAAGAAGAACATAACTGCCCCACGACCTTCTGCCTTGATGTCTGAGGCCCTCATCTGCATATTGTTAGTTGTTCATCTCTGGCATGTTATAGTTTTAAAATTCAGTGATGATAATAAAAAGTGGATTGTATTATATAGTATTGTTGTGGTTGATGTTTTAAAATATTGTACAACATAAAAGGCCAATTCTTCAGTTAACATTTGAGACTGAGGTGGGAATGACTCATAACAACAGTAAAAAAATGGACTGACAATATGGCTCAGGAACTAACGGTACTTGCTGCCAAATCTGAAGACCTGAGTTCAATCACCAACAACCATATGATGTAAGAAGAAAACAGGTCCCAAAATTAGTCCTTTGCTCTCTGCCTCAGTGTCACAAGAGTGTCTGTCTATACACATGCATAAATAAAATGTAATTTTTTAAAAATCTAAGGGCTGGAAAGATGACTCTTCAAAAAACATTGGTTTATTCCCAGCATTCACATTGTAGCTCCCATCCATCTGTAACTCCAGTTCCAGGACTTCCCATGCCTTCTTCTGATCCTGAAGACACCAGATTTAGATACAACCACCCTTCTTTTGTTTCTCTGCTGGAGACAAGACATTACTCCTTGTCTCTGGAGTCTGGATAGCTCATTGGATGACTGAGGCAGATACTGAGGCTTAGATTCATGGACCACTCCTTAGGAGGCAGAGATCTCACCTGATGACTATGCATCAGAACCCCTCATAATGTTTAAGTATCCAGTGTTTTTCTCCAGCCCAGACTCAATGACCTAAAATTGATGTTGATGGGGTCTTAGTTACTATGTTTTCTTTCTCAGTGTTAAGGATGAAACCTAGAGCCACATTCATGATAGATTGAACATTCTACCATTGCACTACACTCAAACCTGGAATTATTTTTAATTCCATGAGTGATTTTAGTCTATAACATGTTAATGATTGTTATTAAATAAGAGAACAAGAGGGTAGGTTCAAAGCCTGTCATGTCAGGAGACAACATCACCACCTGATGAACCATCAACATCACAACTATTGAACCATGGTGTCAATAGAGGTCTCCAGAAACTATCCAATCACCAGAGACTCAGCATCAACCCCACTGGCGTCTAGAGCAGCAATCACCAGAGACATGATACTACCTGCACTTGCAGGAGTGACCACCAGAGGGGTGGCCATGCCTGCAGCAGGAGGAGCTACCACCTGAACCTTGGACCCATCTGAACCTGGAGAAGTGAGCACCAGAGATTCAGCCATGCCTGCAACTAAATGAGTGTTCATTGGAAACACTGCTACCAGTCACATCAACTGAAGAAAGAGGGGCCTCCTGAAGAACAGGGTCCACCTATACTAATTGGAGGAAGAGATGGGTAGACAACAAGGTAAGAATATGCTGAACAACAGAAAGAGCAATACAACACTACAAGAAACAAGTGGTTCTACAGCAAGAAAATGAGAACATCCTAACTTAGATGAAGTAGAAGAAAATGACACTAAAAATAACTTTATGGAGATGATTGAGGCACTTAAAGAGGAAACAAAATTTTCCCTTGCAGAAATGGAAGAAAAAATTGGAAGAGATAAAAAAAAACTCTTTAAAAAAAACAAGAAAAAGCAGTCAAACAAGTGAAGTCAACAGTTCAAAACTTAAAAACTGAAATAGAGGCAATAAAGAAAACCCAAACTGAGGGAGCTCTGGAAATGGAAAATCAGGGTAAATGATCAGTAACTATAGATGCAAGCGTAAGCAACAGAAATCAAGAGATGAAAGAGAGAATCTCAGGCATTGAAGATACCATAGAACAAACAGATTCATCAGCCAAAGAAAATGTTAAATCCAACTAATGGTTAAAACAAAATATCCAGGCAATCTGAAACACCATGAAAATACCAAAACTAAAAAAAATATAGAGAAAGGAGAAGTGCAGTTCCAAAACACAAAAAAAACATATTCAACAAAATCATAGAAGAAAACTTTTCCAACCTAAAGAAGAACATTCCTATATAAATACAAGAAGCTTACAGAACACCAGATAGACTGGACCCAAAAAATCCCCTCACCACGTAATAGTTAAAGCACTAAACATAGAGAATAAAGAAAGAATATTAAGAACTGCAATGGAAAATGCCAAGAAATATATAAAGGCAGATCTATCAGAAGTTAACCCAAATTCTCAGTGGAAACAATGAAAGCCAGAGTTCATGGTCAGGTGTTATGCAGACACTAGGAGACCACAGATGCTGGCCCAGACTACCATATCCAGAAAAAATTTCAATCACCATAGATGGAGAAAACAAAATTCCATGAGAAAACCAGATTTAAGCAATGCCTATTCACAAATTCAGTGCAACGGAAAGTACTAGAGGAAAAACACCAACCCAAGGAATTTAGGTACATCAACAAAACACAGGCAATAGATAATCCCACGCAAGCATATCCCTAAGAAGAGAAACACACACACACACACACACACACACACACACACACACACACACACCAAACAACAACAACAAAAACAAAAATAACAGAAACTAGCAATCACTGGTCATTATTATCCCTTAATATCAACTTGCCTACAAAAAGATACAGGCTGACAGATTGGATATGAAAACAGAATCCATCCTTCTCTTGCATACAAGAAGCACACCTTCACTTCACAGACAGACATTGCCTCAGAGTAAAGGGTTGGGGAAAGATTTTCTATTCAAATGGTCCTAAGAAACATTCTGGTGTAGCTATCCTAATATCTAAGAAAATGGACTTTAAACTAAAAGTAATCTAAACAGATGAATAAGGTCATTTCATATTCATCACTGGAAAAATGCATTAAGATGAAGTCTCACTTCTGAACAGCTATGCTCCAAATACAAACATGTAAAAGAAACATTGCTAAAGCTTAAATCACACTTCAAGCCCCACACACTAATACTGGGAAACTTTAATACTCCCACTCACACCATTGGACAGGTCTACCATACAGAAACTTAATAGAGAAATAAAATAACTGGCATGTTATGATTCAACTGGGCCTAACACACATCTATAGATCATTCCACCCAAATGCAAAGTATATACCTTTTTTCTCAGCACCCCATGTAACCTTCTCTAAAATTGGCCACATACTTGGTAACAAAACAAACCTCGACAAATATTTTAAAAATTGGAACAAACACCTGTAACCTTACTGGCTCACCATGGCTTAGGTTACAATTTCACAACACTAATTCCAGAAAATCCCATAAACTCATGAAAATTGAACAAGGCTCAACTGAATCACCACTGGGAAAAAGAAGAAATAAAAAAAGAAACTAAAGACTTCCTAAAATTCAAAGAAAATGATGGCACAACATACCCAAATTTGTGGGACAGATGAAAATTATGATAAGAAAAATGTTCGTAGCAGTAAATGAATACAAGAAGATACTAGTGACATTCCACACTAGTGTATTAACAGAACAACTGAACAGTCCAGAACAAAAATGTAAACTTATTTAGGAGGAATAGACAACTGGAAATAATCAAATGGATGCCTAAACTCAATAAAATAGAAACAAAGAAAGCAATACAAAGAATCAATGAGACAACTGCAGTAAGAAGAGGCAGGCTGTGTCCAGCCGCCCGGCTAGCTTAGACCCCGAAATAATTGTATTAATTAAACACTGCCTGGCCAATTATCTGTAGCCTCTTATTGGCTAACTCTCACATCTTGATTAACCCATTTCTATTAAATCTGTGTATCACCACATGACTGTGGCTTACTGTCAAAATTCTAACCTACGTCCATCTCAGGCCAGAGATTCATGGCATCTGCTACACTTCCCTTCTTCACAGCATTCTGTTCTGTCTACTCCACCCACATAAGGGCTGCCCTACCAAAGGGTCAAGGCTGTTTTCTTTATTCAACCAATGAAAGCAACAGATAGAAAGAAGACCCTTCTATACCACTTCCCCTTTTTCTGTTTAAGCAAAAAGGAAGGTGTTCACCTTAACATAGTAAAATTACATATAACAAAGCAGTTATCAAGCAAGAATTACAGTTACAATATTTAGATCTACTTTATCTTTTATCATAATGAAGGAAAACTATAACTATCCATTCTTCATCAAAGACTCTATCCAGAAGGATATAATATTACCTATGTAAACCGGAAATAAGCAATTTCAAAAACTCTAGAAATGACAGAGACATCTTCCTGCCTGGATAGTCACCCAAAGTTATTCTGTACCGTTGGGGCATCCATCTTTAGCCTACAGGCCCGTAGTATCCAGTAGACTTTTCCATGAAGCAGGAAATTTCAAACACAGTTCAGTCACTTTCTTCTGTATCCTGCAGAATGTCTCGCAGACTCTTTCATGAAGCAGGAACCCTGAAGGACCATCTCAACTTTAGGCAAGTTCAGCAGTCCTCTCTCTGCGGGTTCTTCATGCAACAGTCCAGGCAAAAGCAGTTTCTTGCCCAAAAGGCTAACCAACCCCATAAGGAACCTCTTTGATGCCCATCTTCCTCTTGAATTAGATTGGTGCTGCCAGGAGGAGACATGTCTCATTGTCATGAAAAGCCCTAAATTATTAAAACATTAAATACCATATTCTGTAGTCTTTGAAAGATTTGAGGAATGCCTATCTAACTGAAATATATCTCTATAAATCTAGAAAATCTAACTAACATGACTACAAGCTTGACTATTATTGATGATTATCCATTAACAACCTATATTTCCTAATTATACATTACATTTTTAAATGAACTATACAATCACAATACCTTAATCAAGATCAGAAACACATATACATATAACAAAATTAACCTTAAGTTTATATCAATAAAGCAAAATCAATATCAATGCAAATTATCCATATCTATATCATATCTCCCTTTAAATGTAAAAGAGCATTTATAAACAATATTTAGGAATATGGGCACAGTTTTTTTTCTCTCCAAACTGCTTTGTGCTGTATGGGGGCACTGTTAATCAGGTCCTTTATGGTATATCCTATGTGCTAGGTTCATCTCAGTCTGTAGTTGAATGAAGTAATTTTTTGAGGGTGTTTACAGCAACCTTTTAGGAGGACATGGTCTATCATACCATATTGGTCTAGAAGCAATCCACAGGGTCTCATCTTCTGTGAAAACAAAAGAAGAACCTCTTTTCCAAAGCATCATATCCTTAGACCCAAATTTGGAAGTCATGATACCTTTAGAACATACATTATGGTTTAGCTGGCTCCAACTTCATGGGGTGAATATCCTCTAGGGGGATTCATGGATGAGGGAGCTAAAAACTATCAATAAAATGTCCTCATTCTCTTTGTGTTTCTATTCTCTTTGGAGAGAGCTGTGTAGACTGAAGAGGACCCTAATATTGAGGACAATAAAGATCACCCAAAGGGAGACAGGAGTGTATTGAAGTAGGGATTCAGAGTACTTTCTGACGATCTCACATGAAACGCTTCTTTAAGTCTAATTATTCTCTTCAAATGTCACCATATCTATTGTTGGAACTGTTTAATACTCTGAAGTATTTTAAATTATGATCCAGTGAGAACTATGTGCATAGAGGAGATTCCAGGTCACCCCCATAAGACTTCAGGGTGAGGGACAAAATGACTTGACTTCTAGTGTGATAGGGCCTCTCTGGCGCTCGCAAGCTGAATGTAGCCCTCTGGGAAGGAAGATGGGATTTTCCAGGAGGTGTGGATGAGCCAGTTTCACTGTAACTCCCTGAAAATTTGAACCAAGAGTTTCTGTATAGGCAAAAAGCTCATTTATGCTCATGGATTGTCAAATATTAGGATTATGTGATAACTCAGAACTTCTACCAGGAGTCCCAAGTGTTTCCACAGCTCATGAAAAGGATGTTTGGTTCTCAACAATGGCAGTAGAATCCAGGTCTAAAGAGACTACTACTTGAAATAGCCACTAGGGGGTAGTGTAGACCTTGTTGGAGCCCACTATGTCCAGAAAGTGGATACTGTCCTCTGATAGTGATGATGGCTCAGCAGTCCTAACTAGGATAGTGATGATGGATCAGTAGTTAGGATAGGGATGATGGATCAGTAGTTAGGATAGGGATGATGGATCAGTAGTTAGGTCAGTGATGATGGCTCTGCAGCTAAGATAGGGATGATGACTCAGTAGTTAGGAACCTGCCTGCTCTTCCAGAGGACTGGGGTTCAATACCCAGTACCCACAAGGCAGCTCACAACTGACTGAAACTCCAGTTCCAGTGGATCTAACACTTTCATATAAACATAAGTTGAAGCACGATTAACAAAAATTTAGGGTCAGAAATTGTGGTTCAACCTGAAGAACTGAAAAACAAAACAGCCAGCCACTGGCTCTTACCTCAACCTTAGTCTAAAATGCCAGATCCTGCCTCCCAGAATCTCAGAAGGAGACTGTGTCTGAGAGCTGTCTCTTCCCATCATATTCCTCTTTAGGACTGAGATTAAAGGCATGCACCACCCAATTTCTATGACAACTAGTGTGGCTACTGTGAATAAAGGTGCGTGTCACTGTGACTATTGGAATTAAAGGTGTGTGTTACCATAATCTGGTCTATAAGGCTGACCAGTGGGACTATTTTATTCTCAGTTTGTTAGGCAGTTTTAATTTATTAAAACACAACTGAAATGCCACTACAATAAGTGCTCACAAACACCAGGGCATATAAAACAAAAGGAGAAGAGGAGGAGGAAGAGAAGGAAGAGGAGGAAGAAGAAAATGGTAATGATGATGATTTTGATGATGATGAAAAAGAAGGGGAAGTTATTAGAACAGTGTGGTGGGGTCTGTACAAGAAAGGGATGTGTGATATCAATGGGTTGCAGACTCTCTGGATCTCTCACCTATACCCAGGAAACAGGGTATCTCTGTCCTTGTCCTCTTGATGACACAGAAACTAAACTGAAGGGCTATGGGAGATGATGCAGACTCAAGTTAGAGACTCTCCGGACATGAGGCCCTGGACCAGCATCCCACCTCCTCCTGAGCATTATCAGGACCCTGGGCTTCTTCAAAGGTGTTTCTGAAAGATGGTCCTCAGATCTTCAGAGGATGGCAGGTGTGCCCCTGTCCTTGATTTTATCCTTCTCTGCCCTTGGTATTTCTCCCTTCACACTTCCCAGTAGAAATATTATGTTTCCTTCTCTATTTCCTCAGCATCTCATAAAGTTTGAGCCCATGGCATCCCTTACCTAACTCCATCGGGTTCTAGGCATTGGTTCAGTTTCAATGCAGTCTCTAAGAGCTCAAATGTTGTACCCAAAGCCCACCGGGCCCTGGGGATAATTGTATCATGTGATGAAATTGCCAGGGCTTCTGGCCTCTGTACTCTCCTGGTTCACAGGTAGAAGGGAACTTGAGGAAAGAGACAGACTTAGGCTTAAACAAGTTCAGGGCCTCATAGCCTCAAGCTTACCATTTTCCCCATCGTTGGTTCTGAACCATCTGAGAGATAGGTTACATGAAAGGACAGGATTAGGATCAAAATGTTGTCTGGAGCTAGAGTTGGCTCAGTCATTGAGTGCATTCCACTCTTACAGAGGACGAGGGTCTGATTCACAACACCCATATCTGATGACTCACCACTGGCTCTGAGTCCAACTCCAGGACTCCCACACGGTCTTCTAGCCTTGTCAGGCACATGAACTCATTCCACCACATTCCGGGAAAGAAAGAAGGGACAGTATCTCAGAGCAGTCCAAGTGAGGGGAGAGAAATACTTTTGTTTTCCTTTTCCCCATCTGGGCGGAGCCCTCCCTGGTGAGTTAGTACTCAGGCTGACTTCCTGCTCTCAGCTGTGTCAGCTTGCAGCTCACAGTCTGCAAGTCTGTGAGGAGACCAAGAATCAGAGCTCCCCCTCCCAAGCCCCAAGCAGTTGGGAGACAGAAGGTGGCAGCTTCAGCAACAGGTGAGTCTTTCTCCCTCTGTAACTTTGCCATCTGACAGCTTGGGTGATTTCATGTCTTGATTAAGTAGGTGCAGCTTCAGTCAGTCCAAAGCCCTGGACACGAAGAAGTTCTGCACTGTAGTTAGAGAGAGACAAGAGAATGGGAGGGAAATGGAGAGAGACAGAGACACAGAGACAGTCAGAGTGTGACAGACAGACAGAGGGTGACAAAGACACACAGAGAGACAGCGAAACAGAGACAAGCAGACACACAGAGAGAGAAAATACCCGGAGATTTTGAAATTGAGTAAGATATCTGCCTGCAAGGCCAGCTTGCCATAACACACAGTCATAACGTTCTTGTGTGCAACACAGACAGGAGACTCTGGTCACAGCTCCCAGGGATTCCTGGTGACCTCTGTGACACGGTTCTGTTGTTATCTCCTGAACTCTGCCTCTCTCTGCTTTCACTAAGATCCCTCAGGGAAGAAATTAAAATAACAGAGTCCCTGTGTTAACAGCTGGTTCCCCTCTGTCCTGGTCTCCTACCTGTCTGGCAGAACTTGTCACATAGAAAGCTGTCCCCAGGGTCACTCCTGGTCTGA